ATATGCTTTTGTGTTTGTTTCTTTTTCACAGAGACTACCCAGTAAAGAACTGCCAGATTCATCATCTCCAGTTCCAGCAAGTAACATCCGTGTCATCAAAAATTCCATTCGACTGACCCTTAATCGATAAAGCAGTGCCTCTTCACTTCACATGAAGTCACATAGAGGCATAGATGGCACCCACTCTTCAAAAAGAAGTGGCTGGCATACATACAGTGGGTGAAAGTCATCAGCCTAATGGCCTTGAGGTGGTTTGTGGACTTGTACACTTTGACCTTCCAATGCTGTAGCATTCTCCCACTGACTGCTACATACACTCCTGAGGATCACCTGCTATCAGATGTCACCTACAATGTTTATGGCTTTGCATTTTGAGGTTTTACTGCCTTAACTTTTAATGTTTGTTCCTCTGTTATGGGAACCAGTTCTTGGCCACTTGGACTCTGATAAAACAAGTCCTGAACCTTTTTTTTTTTTTTTTTTTTTTTTAATGTCTTATGTTATAATCATTGTATAGCGCAGAAAAAGTTGAAAAAAAATTGTCTTGTAATTTTCCAAATGTTAATGTATTTACTTTAGCGTTGAAGCCACTTTGTGAAACCTGAGATGAATGAATGTGAGATCTTTTCTGCTTCTTTCATTTGTGTAGATGTCTATTTTGTTGATTTAAATTATTTTTTTCCAGATTAGCACATGAATACTTAAACTATTTTGTGCTTTTCTGTCTAGATGTTGCATAGTTACCATGGAGGATTAGTCCAGTGATTATATAAGAGTTGGGCACCATAAATTCTCTGTATTTTGCCTCCCATGGAGGCCTTCAAAAAGTATCTATCAAAAATCAAAATATAACCAGGATACTGAAAGTCAGTACATGAATGGTGAAATTGTTAATCTATCTTACATATCTAGCTCATGATGTTCTTGTTGATTGATTGGTATTTTTTACAGAGGAGGAATTCTTTCCGCCATCAACGATAAGATACCTTTAAGTATGGCAGACTTGTATTTTTGAAGTGTTAAATTAACTCAGCATGATAACTCCTGACCATAACTTATCCCACAACTTCAAACAGTTTCTTCATGGACTAGGCATGCAGAAATAAGCGGTGGATTTTATTGAAACCTAAAGGCATTTTTGAATGACATTACCAACCATTAATCGGCTCAGGACCTTTGTAATTTTTATTTAAACTGTATGAGTTGTCTTTTTTTACACTGCTTTTTTCAGTGCATTTCTTAATATTTTTTAAGTTTCATGAATGCATGCTCAGTTTATTAAATCCATAACCATGTAATTCTTGTAATATGTTGACTCAGTGTTTTGTAAATGAAGTCGTATGTATTTTCAGAGTATTTTTGTATGTACTGTAAGATATCATCTTTTCAAAGAGAAACCTTTAAAACCTTTATTGTCTGTCTTTAATTTTTTAAATATTGATTATGCTTAAATTATATTTTAAATGAAAATATATAGATGTACATCCAAGAATACTGGTATATGTTACCTTTTTCAGTTTTTACCCTGAAATTAGTAGGTCCAGTAGGAAATACTATGTTTAAGTAGTGGAGGGGGAAGTGCCTGGCTGCCTCTCCTAGGACTCATGAGCAGTCATGGAGAAACAGCGATCCATTTTCACTTGCAAACTGCTTACCACTGAGTTAAACTATGGAAGTTCAAATTGCCAGAGAGGTATATCCTTCCTTTCCCACTCTTGTGTCCTGATCCCTTGGTATCTGAAAGATAGGTTCTGGTGTTTAGTTTGTACAAAGGAAAACATGGAAAACCTTGATAAAAATAAAGAGCAAAGGGGTGGGAAGGCTGTTATGTTCACGTTTTATATCACATCAGAAGTCCCATCACGAGGTTGTAGCTTCCTTGACAAGGCCATTCTCAGAGCTTACTTGTTTCCTGTATTTAAGTACTTGAGATTTGTCCTGTTGAACAATGGTCACCTGATCTTGAACTTTGGAAGTCTTTGATAAGGGATTTAATAATTTTATATGCAAGAAAGAACAAGTCTAACCCAGGTACTTATGGTAGAATCATTTCTCTTTAATTAAGGATCCATTTAGCATGGTCAAAAGTTCAACATCAGAGTCAACAAAGATGGTGTTCTTCAACCTGTCTGGTGACTGAGTATTTACATGGTTTTTGAGAAAAACAAACCCATTTAGGTGAGTTTGTTCAGGAATAGTGTTTGCTATCCTGATTGGTAGGAGAGACTTAGTACATTTCATTACTGAAGTAGAAGGGTTCTGGCAGACTGGTTCCATGTATGTAAAAAGGTATAGGATTCAACATCGCCTTTGTGTGTTTTCGTGTACCATACTGTAGCCAGAAATGTATTTTATAAAGTCAAATAACCTCAACATAAAGATACCTGTTCATTTTCCTAAGGTGTTAGATTTTAATCTCATTTTCCAGTGACTAGTGTATATGTCAAAAGATGGTTATATGGTTATGCAGCGGTTAAAACTTTAAAAACTGAACTAATTTGAGGTAGAAAGTATTTGGCATACTATCTTGTAAAACCGGGTCAGAAGAATGATATTTTTTTTGGGGGGGGGGTCTTTTTAAGAACAGTCTCCCTGTAGCCCCAGCTGGCAGCTGGCCTGAAACTCACTATGGAGACCAGGCTGCCTTCACAGAGATCCGCCTGCCCCTGCCTCCCGAGTGCTGAGATAAAGACGTGCACCACCACGCCAGCAGAAGAATGAATTTTTAAAGTTTGTATTGATGCTTAACAACACTAATTTTGTCTTAAGGCAGCCACTCAGTAGTGTTACTAAAACACTAATTACTATTACACTTGAGTGAAATAAGATTTTATGAGCATTTTCTAGTGTGGGGAAAGTTAGCTTTCATCAGTTTCTTAAAGTTGTTCCCCCCCGCCCCATAAAGAGGCTGCGTGTGGAAACCACCGGAATTGATCAATCCTGGAATATTTATAATGTTCTCCATTTGATTTTGCTATAGTATGTTTCTGAAAATATAATGTGGCTCTTAAACTAGTAAAATGGGCCATTGGGCCCCTAGGGACACCTTATTTCTTAGGTTCTTTATACACTTCGATGAAACAATGTAATTGGTATTTAGAAAAATATTTACCACCATCAACTTTACCATGTTAACTTAGATACATTAACATGGAGATTCCACCTAAGATTGATCAGAATATGGTAATTAAAAATGATCTTTAAAGGTAATAGAAAATTAAAGATCCTAATCTTTTAATTTCAGTAGCATAAAAGTTCTCACTTGTCTCCAAGTTTGTTGTTCAGACCAGAACAAACCAATAAATAAAAATGCTTGTTATATATATTATAAACAAATATGTTTAAATAACTACCTAATAAGTCATACAAAGCTTAGAATTCAACTGGTCATGATAGTAATAGTACATTTGGTGGAAGGAAATAAATCTTAATGACTTTCCTCAGGGGAATTTTATGATCTATCCTTCCCAAATTTTTAAAATATTTTCTAGTGATTTTGTATTGGAAATTAGTTGAACACAAGATTATCAAATTTATTAGATTTTTTTAAAGATTTTCTTTGTAACTACATGTGCCCATGGAGGTCAGAAGAGGGCATCAGATCCCCTGGAGCTGGAGTTTGAGTAAGCTGCCCAGCATGGAACCCGCCCTCCTCCCATGGGTGCTGGGAACCAAACCTGGGTCCTCTAGAAGAGCAGCAAGAGCACTTAACTGCTGAGCCACCTCTCTAGCCCCCAAATTTCTTAAAATTGCCTTATAAATTTAGAATATCCTCTGTGTAAATGGCGCTCTATTGTGCTGCAGTGTTCTGTAAATAAAATGCAGCTGCTGTGCTTTTCTACATAGCTTGTACATGTTTTATTTTGTAGTTGTGTACGTGAGTTTCATTTTTCTGGAAGAAGTAATCAAACGATTCAATAAACAGGTGATGATTGAGTGATAGCATTTGGTAGTAGTTCAAACGACTTTGCATACTTACTTTTCAAACTGAGAGCTAATTTAGTCATTTACTAAAGTTGTTTTTTGGTAGATAGTGGTATCTACTACCTACTTAATGTGAAAACGAAGATCAGATTCAGTTTGCCTCTTTCAGAATCAGTTACTAAGCATTTATTGGCAAGCAATAGTGCAACAATTTGTAAATCTCTAAATTTAACAAAGTCCCCGCTTTCTGACCTTTTAGGTGATCTCTCCATACAGAGCAAAGGAGTACCTAGGCTTCTGCCAAGTGTTAAATTCTGTCACTTGTGGTCAGGCTTAGGCAACTCTGGTTGGAAACATCATTAGGCGAGCAAGGCTTGGGCACTATCCCTAGAAACACAGGTTATAGGAAATGATACATTCTTATACCTTTATAAAAATTTGACATTATATATTAATAGATTGTGCCTTGTAACACTTAAATGAGTCTAACATAAGTTTGCTAGTTTGTTTATCCTGAGAAGATTGTAGGTTTAAAAGTGACCTTTTTCCAAGATCTTTCTATAGAGGTGAGTTGGGGGTGTAGCCCAGTTAGTAGAGTGCATGCCTAGCATGTAGGAAGTCCAGAGTTGATCCCCAGCACATCATAAAGCAGGTACAGTGGCACACACCCGTAATCTCAGCACTGGGAGGCGGAGGATCAGAAGTTCATGGTCATCCTTGGCTGCATGAGACCTTGTCTCAAAGGAAAAGGAAAAGAATATCCAACTTTAGAATATGTTGAAAACATGCACCCTTTTTTGGTTTGGGAGGAAAACAGGTGTTTATTTTTTAATTTGAATAGGATTACCTTGAGGAAAGACTTGATGAGGATTCAAGAAGACAAAACTTGAGACATTTAAATACATTTTCCAAACTTTTTTAGATTTACTTTGTGTATATATATATATATATATATATGAGTGTATATATATGTATATGAATGTTTTGCCAGCATATATGCATGTGTATTACATGTCTGGTGCCCACAGAGGTCAGAAGAGGGCACTGAATCCCCTGGAATTGCAGTTACAGATGGTTGTGAGCTATCATGTAGGTGCTGAGAACCTCTCAAGTTCCTCTCCCCCCTCCCATGCATGCACATGTACAGACACACACCCAAATAAATAAATGACAAAAAGATGATGTGCCAGGCTGCAAGGGCGCTGACAGCCACCAACAGCCCCACTCTAGCCCTACTCTGCCACTTAAAACTGTAGCTTTGATACTTAACGCCCTCAGCTTTGTTTCCTCCCATTGGAAACACTTGTCCTTCAAACCTTGGAGTAGCCATGGCATGAATATTCCAAAACATCCTCAGGACTCTTCTCATGGGAAGAGCAGACAGTTAATCCTCCCAGTATAGCAGCTTTGTAACATTCCTTAGCCCTCAAACCTGACTGGAGCAGAAAGAAAAGGATCCAGGAAGAGTGTGACCAGATCTAGAGAGGCAGAAATGCCTACCTGATAGAGAAGATAACACTTCTTCCAAAGACCTTGCGAACAAGCAAATAAACTGTGATAGTCTCGCTTTGCAGTCCTGGCTGACCTGTAACTTGCTATGTAGACCTGGCTGGCTTAAAACTTGTGATCTTTCTGCCTCTACCTCCATGCTGAAATTAGATGCATATACCATTCATGACACAAATTTTTTTTCAGACACAAATTGTTAAATGGTGCATTTTTATTTCAGAAAAACACAAAAAGTACATTAAGAAGAAATGTAACTACAGTACTTCACATGGCTCAACTGTTGACTACTGACATACTCTTTATCATTTATTTATTTGGGTGTCTGGACATGCTCATGCCACAGCGTGCATGGGGAGGTTAGAGGACAAGGTTGTAGGAGCTGATTCTCTCCTTCCACATGTAGGTCCCAGGGACTGAACTCAGGTGGTCAGGCTTAGGCTTAGCTGCTAGTCCCACACAGACTTAATGTAAATTAAAAATGTTGAACTAACTAAAAATTTTAACTATTTAGAAAAATGAGAACAGCATGTGAATGAAATTCTCATCTTCAGCAGTAATGGGTAGAAAATATCTAACACTGAAAAATAGTACAAGCACATAATTTAAAAATGGAGGGTCTAGAGGGCACACTTGCAAACCTGACACTCAGAAGGCAGAGGTAGGAAGATCATGAGTTCAAAATCACCCTGGACTACATAGCAAAACCCTACGATACAGAGGCATACAAAACAGGTACACAAAGAGGATAATTACTGATAACTATTAAAAACTTTATCATTAGATAGACATAATTTTGTCATTTATTAAAGATGAAAGTAAATTTGTACACTAATGAGATGAGTATGTTTGCTCTTTTTACATAAATAATTAAATCTTGGGCTCAAGGAATGAAAGCATTTTCTGTGCAAGTGTGAGGACCCAGAACACATAATCCCAAGAACACATAAAGCCAAGCACAGTAGTGCACATCTGTGAACCC